TAGTAGTAGTAGTAGTAGTAGTAGTAGTAGTAGTAGTAGTAGTAGTAATAGTAGTAATAGTAGTAGTAGAAATAAAAACCATAAAGCCTTATATGACTGCAAGGTAGTATTACTACTACTAGTACTAGTACGGCAGCTAGGTGTTTCAGTGGATAGAGTGCCTGGGACTGGAGTCAGGAAGACCAGAGTTCACATCTGGCCTCAGACATTTATTAGCTGTGTGACCCTGAGCAAGTCACTTAACCCTGCTTGCCTCAGTTTCCTTATCTGTAAAATGAACTGGAGAAGGAAATGGCAAACCACTCCAGTATCTCTGCCAAGAAAACTCCCAAATGGGGTCATGAAGAGTCAGATACAACTGAACAATAACACCACTAAGGGAGAAATCTTTGCCCAATGACTTGATAAATCGCTGGGGAAATGACATCACTCTTGACATTGCCACTATAGATTAAACCAGAAGGTGTATTTATAATGGAGTTGCAGCTGAATGGCAGCACAGTCCACCAATTCTTTCACAGAGGTCAGCAATGGAATTAGTGGAATTTTTTCATCTTGTACTCAAATGAAAATATCATTTCATGAGATACTCAGTCCCCTCATTTGGAAATGAGCACAATAAACAATTGCAGAAAGACCACTATGAAGATAATTGCAGTTTATGTACTAACATACCTATTGCAGAGGATGTTATAAGATCCTCCAACAGACTTAAGAGACAAGTAAATTCGATTTCAATGCAAAGGCAGAAACATAAGGGAGAAAAATAAAATATTGACATGGCAGGGTCATTTCAAAATCAGCTTTCTGTTTGTATTATTCAGATCACCAACTAATTAGGGCAAAGAAGTTCTGAAAAATGGAAGATAGACGAAAATAACGACATGGAGTCTATCACCATTTCTTAGGGAGATTTAATCAGTGTAAAACATGTGCCCCCATGAGATTAAAACAACCTAGAAACCACCTTAGCCAACAAACACCATCTCCTTGCTATGCAGTGAGACACGGAGGCAACACAGATTTAGAGCAGGTTAGAATTATTTGCAAAATGTATCAGAGAATGATGGCAGAAGAATTGTGAGCAGTGATGACTTAGAAAACAGCCAAAAAAAAAAAACCAACCAAAAATAGTACTTGGAGAAAATGAAGCTTCAATAAACTAATTGTGAGATTCATTTAGGCCAGAAGAGCATTTATAAATATAAAAGTGTACAACAAATAGGTTCAAAATGAAACAGATTTGCCACCATCTATTTTCACCAGCAATGATAATGGAACTAGTTAGCACATCTGGAGTCTAACACCTTAGCAAGTGAAGTACTAGATAAAAAGGCAGAAATGTTACTTAGGAAGATGAACTTGGAAATATAGTAAAAGAACGGAAAAAATAATGAACGGTATTTTTTTTTAACATTGCTAAGAAGACATCAGCAACTACCAACCCATAAGCCTACTTTTATTATCTCTTCAAAATCTCTGTGAGAATGGTTTACGTATGTTTGCAAGGATGTCATTGATGAAAGTATGAGAAAGAAACTGATGGGCTTTTGTAAATGATTTCCTAATGCAGACTACATCTTCACAGTCATGCAATTGACTAAGAGGTGCAGAGACTACAAAATCTGATACATCCATTGTTGATTACAAAAAATTTATTAGACTCAATGGAGTAAAATGTGGTCTTCTTCATCATACATCAAGGTCATCCAAGATTACCTTGATAGAGGCAATAACAGAGAGAACTTTGTCCAACAATCCTCTTAGCCTTAATATGGACTCAGGTATACAACAGGGAGACGTATGCTCACTGAAAGTTTTGGTCACTGTACTGGAGGATGTCTAGAACATAGTCCAAATGAAAGAGGGATTCCTTATAGATGGTGAGGTCTCTCAGATGCTTCTGGTTTGAGCATGACATTATGCTGATTGTGCCAAGCCTGGATCCACAGTTACACCAAATAGATCAGTCTAACGATCACAGGAGACAAAATCAAACAAATGAGGAATGAAGATATGGAGGATCATAGCATGAAACTGGATAGGTGAACCATTGAGTTGATCCAATGATACCTATATTTTGGTGGATAGGTACTGCAGATGGACAATGGCCTGGGCCCAGAATTAAGGGCGAAGAGGAGAATGAAATGGGAAATTCCATTACAATTTGGAAAATCGTGATGTGTTTGTAATGATTTCAAGCTGTTCCCTGACACAAAAACCCATTTTTCTCTGCACTGATATTCTCTCTTCTCTTGAGCTATGAACCATAGAACAGTATCATCTCTAAAGAATCAGAATGGTGGGTGATGGAAAGGGCAATAGAGAGACTCATGGTAGGTAGAAACAGGTCACATCATGCTACCAATTATGATTTTAAAGGAAGTTATCAAGGGTGAGGCATCCAGGGCAAGGGATGGATAGCTCAGATGCTGTCTTGGTACCCACAAAATACTCCAAGGCCTAGACGAAGGCCTCCAGCATGTAGGGTAGATACTCTGTGAAGAATTTGTGGGACGATATGGGTAAGAATCGCCTGGAATAAGAATTAAATGAGAAGCGATTTGCACCAGTGAAGAAAGTACCCACTTCAGTGAGATAAAGAATCCATGAAAGTATTATTATTATCATCGTCATCATTAGTTAATTACTCTTTGTTTTAGGTTATATCCATGTTTCTCTCAAACTGGGCAGCACGCATGCGTCCATACATGGGAGCCAGTCTGGAACTGAGCTCCTCATTAATTACTCTTATTCTGCAACAGCCACCACCAGGCTGGGCCTTTGTCACTCCTTGACAACCTGGGGTCTACTCAATCTCCAGATACTCCTCTGCCACTTTAAAAACAAAAGTCAATTTTTCCCTGAGTGGCAACAGTAGGTGTCAGGGTGGGCAGACTGTGAGACTGGGAGTCAGGAAGACCTGAGTTCAAATCTTGACTCAGACACAAGTCACTAAACCTCTCTGTGGCTAATTTCCTCATCTGTAGAATGGGAATAGTAATGGCACCTACCTCAGAGGGTTGTTGTGAGGATCAAATGAGGTAAAAAATGTAAAGCAAATTTTAAGGCGCTATATTAAGGCTGGCTATTATCATTATTATTGGTCTACTATTAGAAATTTTCTTTCACCTTTCATCCTCACCCCCAAACACATGCCCTGATATCAATCTCAATGTCAAATAGTTTTATTGCCTGTTTTCCTCTTGAGGGCACTTAGACCAATACCCCCCGGCCAGGAACCCATCCAACCCCATAGATCCCACTTCCTACAGAGCTGGGTCTTGTCCTTTAAGAGTAAGGGAGGAGCAGGCCTCCACAGGCACAGCATCCCCTATGGGAATAGAGAGGAAGGGCTGGGGAGGGGAGTTGACAGAGGCACTTGGAGACTGGGCTGTAACTAGGGAAGCCGAGCCCTAGCAGGAGCAGGGAGGTCCCAGTGGCCCTGCAGAGGGAAGACCCAGGATTGGCACCTTTCCCTAAGCAGCCCAACAGGGGCAATGAGGTGACTTCTGGTCCCCCAGGACTTCTGGTCAGGTCTTGCTGGTCCCTATTCACGATGTTACTCCTGCACCAAGGCCATCCCTGTTACAGCGTCTCATCCTGTGACCCCAAGGGGGAACACTAAGAAAAGCACCAACCAAGGAGCTGCCTATCAGAGTGGAGGTGTTGAGTTGGGGTGAGGGGAGTCGGTCAATGAGATTAGGGGTCCCTGCCCTGAACCACATGTTCGAGGCCCTGCCCCGACAGAAGAAAGGGAGGGAGGAAGAGAGGAGGTGGGGCCTGGGTGTCAGCAGTGTCCACCAGTTGCCCGGCAGCCTCCGGCCCTCCTAGCTGCCTGTCGCTCCTTCAGGGCCGTCCTCCGGAGCTGGGCTCGTGCCTGAGGGGGAGAAACACATTTTTGCTGCGATCTTTCCCCCAACCTTTCTCCCCACCCTTAGCCCTCCCAGCCTGACTCTGAAGCTCAGAGATACCCAGATTCTTAGAGCTAGAAGGGTTATTGTCACATGTCCTGCCCCAGAATCTCTTCTACCACATGACAAGTGGTCATACAAGGCCTTAAGTAATGAGGAATCCATTACCTCATGGGGCAGCGGCTCTTGTCATTGCTTTTATTATTGTTCTGCGACAACTCTTCACCTACTTGGAAATAACTATCACATCCTCCATCAGTTTCCTCTTATCCAAGCTCAATAGCCCCAGTTGAAGTGTCTGACAACCTATGACCCCTGACCTCTGGCCCCTGTATATAACTCTTTTTTTTTTTTTTTTTTGGTGAGGCAATTGGGGTTAAGTGACTTGCCCATTGTCACACAGCTAGTGAGTGTTATGTGTCTGAGGCCTGATTTGAACTCAGGTCCTCCTGAATCCATGGCCAGTACTCTATCCACTTTGCCACCTAGCTGCCCTTATATAACTCCTTCTTGGCTGTTCTGGCCCAGATGGATATCCTACTTCGTCCCAAACCCATCTAGACTCAAGAACTCACAGGACGTTTAGGTACACAGGAAATCTGAGGGGGCTCCCACTGGCCATCCTCAAGGCACCGGATCAGGGGAGAGTTGCGCTGGACCAGCCCTTCCTGGCAGTGATAGCGAAGCACATCATCTACTTCATAGCGGGACCTTGGCCGGCCAAAGACCAGGGCCAAGGGCAGCTCTGGGGGTGGTCCACAGGACACTAGGAGAAGGAGATTGTGAGAGGCAGTCAGGGAGGGCAAATTCTGACTGCAACTAGTGGTAGCTCCCACAGCCACATCAGGGACAACATGGGATAACAGGGAACACCACCCAGACACATACCCTAGGCCTTTTGGCTCCAAGGGGAGCCCAAATCACACCGATTGATAACCAGCTGTCCCTCTTTTCCCTTCCTGGGTCAGGGTTGCTAGCTCAGTACAATCAGTGCCCCAACCACAAGGTTAGTACAGCATCTCTAATCAGGATGGTATTTATTTATACTTACTTACTTGGTTGGCAATCATTCTACTATCCCCAGCTCTAGCCCCTCACCCCAGTATGCTCAAGCCCCTACCCCTCTCCAGTTGGTTCCATCCCCCTTTCCCTCTCCCTCGGTGTCTTTCGACCCCCTACTCCTCTCCCCCAGTGTCTCCCAGCTCCATACCCATCTCCTCTAGTGCCCCCTAGCCCCTTGACCCTCTTCCCTATGGTTTCTAGTGCCTCTCTTCTCAGCCCTCTCCCCTCTCTCCCCATTCTACTCCCTCTGGTCTTTCCTCACCCAGCCCCATCTTGCAGGTATAGGACAGGTGGTAGTTGCAGGGAACATCACTCCACTGTCCCTGGTCATGCCAGACCATGACCACACAGTTTTCTCCAGATAGGAAGTAGCTGTCTGGCTGCCCTGGGTTCCAGTTCTCATAAAGCTAAGGAAGGGAAGAAAGAAGGAGGACATCTGTGGGACACTGAAGAAGGCTAAGAGCTGAGGGGAGAGGGGCAGGAGCTGGGGGCAAGGATTTGGAAGCCTTGGGAGAGGGCAGGAGCTGGGGGACATGGTAAGTGAGAGGAGCTGGGGGGATATTGAGACAAAAGAACATGGGCTTAGGGGCACTGGGGGAGAAAGTGGTGTCTGGGAAGACACTAGGAAAGAGGGACAGGAGCTTTGGGGGCATGGAAGGAGAAAGCTAGGGACTGGAGGACAAGGGAGAAGGGTAGGGGCTTGAAGGAGACACTAAGGGAAGAAAAGGCTGAGAAGAAACCAATATGTGTATATGAAGACTTGGTTCTCCTCTCACCAAGGGAACGCCATCTGACCACAGGAAATCTCCCTCAATGGTTCTGTCGTTCAGCCCAATCCATTGGTATTCTCTGTATTGATCTAGAGAAGAGGAGACGAGATACAGAGATTTTAAGAATGAAGCCTGCAGCGTGGCTGTAGACCAGCAGAGGGCACCATTTCCCCGTTAGAACAGCACACTACATTTACCACTACGCAAAGTTCTTTCTGAAATCTATTCTCAATTCCTCCTACTGCCCTCTTCTCATTCTTCCCTATGTGGGAGTGCGACCCAGCCAAAGGAAAATGGAGAAATGATAATGCTTGAAGTTTGGCAATCAGGGATGCAGAAATGATGTTATAAAACTACCCAGAGGGGGCAGCTAGGTGGCACAGTGGATAGAGCTCTAGCCTTGGAGTCAGGAGGATTTAAGTTCAAATCCAGCCTCAGACACCTAACACTTACTAGCTGTTGACCCTGGGCAAGTCACTTAACCCTGATTGACTCACCAAAAAGCAAACAAACAAATAAAAACTGTCCAGAGCATGAAAGAAAAGGAGGTGGGGAATTGACCCTAGAAAAAGAAGGAAACTTTTCAACAAAGCCAAGAGTTCTTCAGGACAAACTGGAATATACGAGTGAGACAAGGAAGACTAAATGACAGGAGAAGCCAGAAGAGCTACAGTCAATAAACTCTGGGGGTTGAATCTCTAAGGTCCCTTTCCCAGCTCAAAAATCTATTATCTTATGAGCTGCTTTCCTATGGCTTAGAAGATGTAGTATCACTTTCCTTTTTTGTACATCTTCTAAGCCGTAGGAAAGCTGTTCATATAACAATAGATTTAGAGGATAGAAGGCATTAGAGAGGCAAACTCCAGTTGTACTGGTATGATAGCAGAATTGGGGTTTGAACTAGGTCCTCTGACTCAAAATTCAGTTTTCTTTCCATTGTATGCAACACCATATTGTAACTCAAAACACCTAATTTCTCATTCTGGTAGCCTCTTCCCCAAGAGGAAAGAGAGGGGAATATATTTATAGTGAGGGATGAGGAATGAGGAACATGACAATAGCATATGTATCCTGGATCTGGACTTTTTCTCTTCTTCTAGAATGTGGCATTAGAGGGAACAAGGCTTAGAGACCAGGAGCAAGTTTTTTTTTTTTGTCTTTTTTTGGGGGGGTGGCAATTGGGGTTAAGTGACTTGCCCAGGGTCACACAGCTAGTAAGTGTCAAGTGTTTGGTCTGAGGCCGGATTTGAGCTCAGGTCCTCCTGCCTTCAGGGCCGGTGCTCTATTCACCACCACCTAGCTGCCCCCAGGATCAAGTTCTGACAACCAGAAAACAGGGGGGAGGGGAAGAAGTACAAATATGCAGGAATGATAGAAAATATAGAGTTCCTGATTCACTGGGGGAAAGAGAATGGGGGAGGAGAGGAACTGGCAGACCACCTGGGAGTGATTCGATAAGGTAACCAGAAAAACATTGTCAATTATTCAAAATATGGATGTAGAACAATCAGGTTCGAAGCAGCAGAGCTAGAAATGAAACCAGGTCCTGTGATTAACTTCTGAGCACTTTTCACTGTATCAATATGACTATTACTTCTATATGCCAATATTGGTATATTTTCACTATCACAATGTGAGACAGGAGAATGTTAGGTGCAAATCACAATTCTTATACTTACTGGTTGTGTGTTCACAGGCAACTCACTGAAAACACTATATAAATGTCAGTATTTTTTGCCATCAGGAGTAAGTATATTTTGGTTTATTTCAACATGATCTATAGCTGTAAGTCAGGGCTGACCCCTGGAGCTTCGGCACAATGTTATGGCCAGGCTCAGTTTATATAAGGGCACAGCATTCCTGGTCCAGCTGGGTCACTGGGGCTTCAGGATGGACCACATTTCTGTTTTCAGCACCTTGGAAAGCACAGGGCACACGAGTGTTTGTTGAATACATTAATACCACCAGTGGCTCCCCAAAGTCCACCCAGGGCCCCCTCATCCCTGTCCACAGGGGTGCAGCTTACTGTTGATGAAATTCTGCTCCTCAGGTGTGCTGATGCTGGCTAAGTGGGCTCCATGAAGCCGGCACTGAGTTTCAGCCTCCTCCCAGCTCCTCCGAGTTGAAAAATGCTTGTAGCAAGAACCCTGGAAGGCATCCCAGCCAGAACTGCAGAATCGGAGTCCTGAGGCAGGAAGGGGAGTGAAGTCAGATGGAAGGGAAGGGGGTAGACGAGCATCTCTTAACTCTACTGGGAGTTATTGCTGCTGGCCAGGAAGGCTCAGTTTAGCTACCATCTCCTCCACAAAACTTTTCCTTATTTTCTTGGGAGGTATAAAGGCATTCTCAAAACTAGATAGAGAAGTAGGTGAGGCTGCTTAACAGGTTATCCAAGGCATGGTAGGAGGAGTGGGAAAAGCAGGTGGCCCTGATCCTACCCTACCCTGCCCCCCTCCAAGTTGCAGCAATTGAAATTCCCTCCTAAAATTTTCCTAGAATGCTTTTTTAAAATTTCTCTTTATTTTTTAATCCAATTGGATTGTAAGCTCCTTGAGGCCAGGAACTATCTTTTGCTTCTTTTTGTATACCTAGTGCTTAGCAATGTGCCTGGCACATAGTAGGTGCTTCATAAATGTTTATTGACTGATATCCATCACACTGTACCTTGTATTATACTTAATGCATGTATACACCATAACCTCCCTAACAGCAGGGAGCATTTTATCTTTCATTTTTGTATCCTCTGTGCCTAGCTGCCATGGCTATAGGGAACATGGTCAATTAACCAATTTAATATAATTCAAGACAAAGCATTTATTAAGTGCTTACTTAAGCACTGTGCTAGGGGTTAGGGCAGGGATGGGGAACCTGCAGCCTGGAGGCCACATGAGGCCCTCTAGGCCCTCAAGCTCAGTCCTTTAACTGAATCCAAACTTCACAGAACAAATCCCCTTAATAAAAGGATTTGTTCTGTAAAACTTGGATTCAAGTCAAAAGGCTGGACCCAAGGACTTAGAAGGCCACATATGGCTTTGAGGGTTAGGGGTGCAGATGTTTGTTGAAGTGATGTGAATTAAGGCAGTGACAGAGTTATAGAGTCCAAGGACTAGGGAAAACAGGGATCGGGGTACCAGAGAGGAAAGGGGGAACAGGGACACACTTTGAGGCTCTCAGATTCTTTCTCTTTCCAGTCTTGTTCCTTGACTTATCTTCCCCTAACCTCCAAGATGAGATAGGCCTCCCTGCTCTTATATTGTGGGAATTTGAGGTCTGGATCAGTAGGAATAAAATCTCTGGATCTTAGGGCTCTCAAGATTTATCCTTCTATCCCTTATCCTTCTAGAAACTTAGAATGCAGGCTGGAGGAAGGGGTGTGGATCTGGTCCTGAGTAGACCCCCAGTAGTTGAGTTGCCTATTGCTTTTGTCCCTTCCCATCTCCACTCACCAATCTCGCACAAGTTCCCCCCATAGCCGGGTAGACATAAGCAGTGGACACCATCACCCTCCTCGTAGCATGTCCCCCCATTGTGACAGGGGCTGGGCACACAATCACCTGCAAGGGGGCAGAGGTATGAGACATGGCAATTGTGGTCTAAGAGTTCAGGCACCTGTGGGATATCTCAAAACACATGTGAGATCCATCCCAGAGTAGGGCCTTGGCCATACCCAAACCTCCTTCCTGTCCAGAGCTCTTATCTTTCTCCTCTTCCCACCACCTCCTAGATCCTCATGCCCAACCCCTCAACCAATACCAGGCTTGGATAGGATTGGTCCAACCCAGACCCCAAGTCTGTCCTCCCATTCCCACTGAGACCAGGACCAGGCAGTGGATAGGAGCCACAGGAAGGGGGTACATACTCCTTCCCAGAATCTAACTTTCTAGAAGTGGCCAGTTAGAAAGCCCTGCAGGTTCCCCTGGTCATCCCCATTTGGTTCCCAGGTATTAAAGTTCACAAATTCCACTGAGCTTGGGATTCGATGTGGTAATTTCTGGGTGACTGAAGGCAGGAAGAAGGGCAGCAGTCAAAGCTTCAGAGGAGAAATCTGACTTCCCCCTTTGTCTGCTTACAGTATCAGCCTGTTCTGGAGGCCACTGGAAGCAAGAATTCAAATCCAGGAATTCTCAGATATTATTTCCATTGCGTCCCTTCCCTGCTTAATATTGCTGGACCCATGACCCTTTGTTTTCCAGGACTCCTTTTCATACTCTTCACTCCTGCTAGAGGAACCTGCCCTTGCCCTCATTCCACATCACAGCTCTTTCTCTGAGTCTTCTGTTACACAAGATTCTGTGTGTCTTCCTTTTCTTTTAGTTCCCCTCCTTCCCAACACTATTCCATAGTCCCTTCCCCCAAGAAGCCTTGCCAGCCATCACTGCCATCCCCATCCTGTGCTATCTCTCCCCCAAGGTTGACATCTAGAATGCTTACTGACACGACCATCTGTTCCAATCTCTGTACCTGGTGTAAAGTGGCAGAGGGTTCCGTTTCCCCCATCAAAGTAGGAGCTTCCTGAGGACAGAGATTCTGTCTTTTCCCAGAGGTTGGGAACTTTCTGAGGGTTGGTACTGTCTTCCTCATCAAACTTTTGACTTCTTAAGGGCAAAATCCAGTCCTCTTCCTTCTTCTGGATCCTTCCCACCCTTTACCTTCCTCCCACCCCAGATCCTAGGCCAGTTATCTACTAATAAAGGGTTCTCAAGATAGAAATAGGAGATGAGAAGGACTGAATGATCAAAACACAAGTGAACAGAGCTTTTTTTCTTTTTTTTCTTTTTAGACAATTGGGGTTAAGTGACTTGCCCAGGGTCACACAGCTAGGAAGTGTCAAGTGTTTGGTCTGAGGCTAGATTTGAACTCAGGTCCTCCTGCCTTCGGGGCCGGTGCTCTATCCACTGTGCCACCTAGCTGCCCCGTAAAGTTTATTTTCTTGAAAGGTCTCAAAGCACCTTCTTTCAGAAAAGATGTGTGGGAAACCAGGGAATAATCAAAGATGATGAATGGGATAACCAAGGCAAAGTTGTTGCAAAGTAGGTAGAGCAAGTGGTTCCTGGTCATAGAGATAGGCAAAAGGTGATCCCTACTGTCCAGTGGTTCACCGATCTGTACTCAGGTAGCCTTGTCCCCACTGGCTGGCTGCCTGCCTGCAGGGAAACTGAGTAAAAGTGATATTGATGACATCAGGGTTAATCTAGTTCACACTTTCTAGAATGAAGAGAGGTTTACAAAGTACTTCTCAACAACCCTATGAGGAAGGTTATGATAATTATCCTTAAACCCATCTTGCAAACGGGAAAACCGGACTGAAGTTCCAGCTTTGCCATGTTCTAGCTGTGTGACCTTGGGCAAGATGCAGATCATCTCAGAGCTTATTCCCTCATTTGTAAAATGGTGAAAGTTCCTATCTATATCATATAGCTATTATGAAAAAAGCATTTTGTAAATTCTGAAGTGTTACAGAAATGTGAGATATCAAGCCATATTCCCAAGGGCACACTGCTAGTGGACCTGAGCTGAGATTAGAACCCTATCTCCTGAACAGAGCCAGAGCTCTTTCCGTCACATCAGATCATCTCTTTGGACCACTGCAGAATGTGCGACCTTGGGCAAATTCCTTCCTTTTTTGGGCCTCAGTTTCCTCAACTGTAAATAAAGGAGTTGGCCTAGCTAATCTCTCTTCTCCATGCCAGCTCTAAATTTATGAACTTTTTAAGATCTCCCATCTTACCTGCTGCAGTCTCAGTCACTTCTTAAAGTTCCAAGTCTACATTATGAAGTGGAACTGTAACATCCTCTACAAAGGAGTAGTAACTAACAGAGTTAAGTACCAGCAGGACCCTACCATCTCCATGGTGAGAGTGTATATAGAGGAAATGTCCACTAATGCATTGATTAGTTCTATAACATGACAACAAAGGGCCTGGGGAAGAAGCAGAATTGGTTTAAATAAATTCTGGAATGACAAGGCTAGTTCTGGAAGAAAGATTCAGCTGATCCAGTCCTATACCTCTCTATTCTCCCTCTACTAACCCTACCATATTGGTTTCTCCCAATATGGTCAGTGCTGCCCCCTGGAGGGGATGGTCATGTCTTATATTAACTCCTTAAGTATCAGGTCAGACAAAGGTTGTGAAGGGATGACCCTTGCTTACTATAGACCCTGGCATAGCACCCTTTCCTACAGAGAACCTTCAAAGGATTCAGTGTTCTCCACCCCTATTTCTAGGAGGACTTTATTCATCTTCCAAGTGATCTGCGTTCCATATCATCTTCTTCTTCCTCTTTTACTCTATCCCTTATGCCGCAGACAGATGAAAGACATCTGTCTTTTCCATCTTTCCTATTCCTCTAATCTCCTGTTCCTGATAATCCAAATTCCTGAGAGTAGAGAACTGCTCCTTGCTATTTAATTATCATCTCTCCTGCTGCAATAGAAGCTTAGCAGCTCTTTCCCAGAGGCAACATGGACAGGGAGCATAGAAAAACTTCAAAGGGACAGTTCTATGCCCTCTTCTTCCTAAAAAAAAAGTGAGGATCATCATGAAGAGGAAGGGGAGAAAGCCTGGAATTGGAATTAATTCCAGGGTCTAAAATAGGAAAGACATGCCAATCCATTTCCTCCCCAACTCCACCCTGTACTTTTGAAGAGACCCGGAAACAGGGTAATTGACATAATGACCTTTCATCCTGAATTTCTGCCATCCTGTGTATTTGGGTGGTAGGGTGTGTTCTCTCTTTCCTTTCTCTCCAATTCCCCAAATATCTCCTCCCCCCACAGCTTCAGTTCTCTCTCTCTCAAGGGCTCCCCTCATACACTC